ATTCAATTGTATCCTGATACTCTGGAAATATTTATGATTATGTTTGCAGATGATAAAGCGTCTGTATCTGATACTATTGTTGGTCTTCAACGACAGCTAAATTGTCTCCAAGATTTTTGTAATCAATATAAACTTGTTGTTAATATAGACAAAACAAAAATTATGGTTTTTAAAAATGGGGGACAATTGTCAAAACATGAGCATTGGCACTATTCTGGTAAAAATATTGAAGTTGTTAAAGGATTTGATTATGGAGGTGTTCATTTTACCAGCAAATTATCTATGTACAAAAAGGCAGAGCATATGTCTATTAAGGCAAAAAGAGTATTTCTGTATATTTTAAGTTCTGTTCAGGAATACGGTTGCATACCTTATAATACTTTCTTTAAAATATTTGATGTTAAGATAAAACCCATTATGCTGTATGGTTCAGAATTGTGGGGTCTTAGTAATATTTCCTGTATTGAATCACTCCATATATTTTGTTGTAAAAGATTTTTACAAGTAAACTCTAATGCTTGCAATGATGCAGTTATGGATGACTTGGGACGATACCCAATGTATATCTACTCATCAAAAAATTGTATTAAATATTGGCTTAGACTGTTAAAAATGCCAAACGATAGATATCCTAAATTATGTTATAATATGCTATTATATTATGATACAATAGGTAGGAAAAATTGGGTTTCAGATATCAGAGAAAATGTATTTAGTAATGGTTTTGGCTATATTTGGGAAAACCAAAATGAAACTATTAATGATGATTTTTTGAATCTGTTTGTCAGTAGACTAAAAGATCGATATCTACAAAATTGGAGTGCCAAATGTATGCTTAATAAGAAATTGACATATTATTCATCATATAAAACAAGATTTACAGTTGAATATTATGTACATGTCCTGGATATTGTCAAATTTCGAAAATGTTTTGCTTCTTTTGGATGCTCTGTTCACAATCTTCTTATTGAAACAGCTAGACACTATGGCTTAAGTAGAGAAGAACGTATATGTCCCTATTGTGAAACTTCAATAGAGGACGAATTCCATTTTATGTTAATCTGTCCTCTATATAATGATATGCGTTGCCAATATATTTCGGAAAATTACAGAATGCTACCAACACTAAAGACTTATCAATAAAATCTTGAAATCACATTTAATTCATTCATTGTAATTCTTTATTTAAGCTAAAATGCTATTCTTTTTATGTATTTGTTATATCTTGGTCATCTTTTTATATTTCTAAATGGTGTTTTGTATACGCCGATATGCCAATAAACCCGAAGCTATTAAACACAACGCTACAGGCCATATAAACATATCCTAGTGATTTATACACAGTAAACATCTGCGTAGCAAAATTTTTTTGTGTTGTTTCCGAAAGATAGATAGTGTGCATAAGTTGTTAAATTTATTTTGCTGAAAATTTTGTATAAATTCTTACTATTATTGTGAGAAGATAATGGTTGTAAAAAAGGTCGACCTGAAGATGTAACACTGTAATTGTATTGCTTTGTTTTCATTTCATAGAGGAATAAACGTTCTAAAACGTAAAGTATTGCAGCTATTTTTTTTCATATTTGCGATGTTCTATTTAATTTAGTTATTGTATTCTCTAAATCACCTTCAGCGATCTTGAACAGCATATTCATTGGAAACCTTCCCAATCAACTTTTATATATACATTTTTTCTATAGTAAGTTATAGTATATTTTCCTTAATTATATAATCATTAAACGCATCAAAGCTAATTATCTTTTTTAATTTTTGGCAGTTCTTGAAAACTTCAACTTGATTGGTATCTGGAAAAATCGCATTATTACATTCTTCAGCCAATCATAAAATAATTTAATCAAACAGGCCCAACAAAACAATTTTTATTATGATAACGCTTCCTCGTTGATGATGTACTGTAAAGATTGCCAAACTTTTAACATATTTTGCTTGAATAAACGGGGTTGTTACAAAGCGGCCGATATATTTCATTCTAATAAAATACCAAAAGCCTAGCTGTATGCTGTCTAAATTAAAAGATTATTATAATAATAAGATTTGAGAAATCAGAGAACACTCAGATATGTACATGACAAATTAGTTAATGGTCACAATTATCTCTTAAAAATTGGCAAAGTCTTATATTTCATTCATAGATGAAATTAAATCAAGGAAGCATTAAAAAGACTTTTCATATATAATTGTTATATAACAGAGTTTACTCACGCTCTTTGCAAAATGTTTTAACAACAGTTTCTAAACCTAATTATCTGAATCATTGACTTTATAACAATATGATTCCTCTATTGTAAAAGGGTTTAATATGGGAAAACTTAGCTTGATATTGTCCAAGAATCGATATTAAAAGTAAGATTTGGTTTAAACAATATTTATTTTCAATAAATTGCTAACATAATATACCATGCAAAGTACATTGTAAATAATTTCAGATAGTTTAAAAATTAAAATAAAGCTACAATGTATACAGAAATAAAAATGTTCTTCACAGGTTATCTATCAGAATAGAGGAGACAGCTAGAAGCTTTTGCTAAGCCTCGATTCTGACTATCGCGCAAAGCTGCCATGATGGTGTAATAATCAATATGTAATATTATTTTCGGGAAAACGACAAAGAAAAAAAGAAAGACAAATGATTTCAGAACCAACGAAACAATTTGAAATCAAATAAATGTTCATAACTAATTAATTGATTTAAATGCTATATAAAAATGACCTTTTAAAATACTAAAACCTAAATAACTTAAAATAAAACAAAATAATACCTTATCCGTACATATGCCTCTCATGCAATCATCAGATCAGCTCTAGAAAAATCTTAAATCAGATATAGTAGTGCGCAACCTGGGAAAGACTGGAGGAGATGTATAGGCTTTCTAAGCGATTTGCAAGTATAGTGGTCTTTTTCTGGTTCTCATTATTATAGAATAGATAAGAATTTCATTAATTTGACATTGACGGTCAAGGTCAATTAGAGGTCAAGATCATATTGAATTAATCAATATTTTGGTTTTGTCACAAGTGTTAGTTTGTCCATGTATAAAATTAAATCCGTACATAAATTTCAAAATAATGTCAATAAAATTAAATAATTTGACATTAACGGAAAATGTCACTGAAAGGTAAAGGTCAAGGTCAATTCTTTCTTTTGGATGGTCGTTTCTAAAAGGTTGTTTTGCCCAAGTATTAAGATAATACATTTGTTTAATACCAAGTTACAGACAATTGAAACAGTAATCAGTGAAATTTAGTTCGACCAAAAGGTCAATGGCATACATGATTCCAGATCATTTTGGGATTAATATTCATGAAGGTCCTGATCAAAAAAATGTTAAGGTTAAATATGCAGATAATCCATTTACAAATAACAAAGCTATAGCCAATTAGAGGAAAAACAAGAGAATTTTTTTACTTTGTCCTTGTAGATGATGGTCTATTAAAGGTCAACGTCACATTTAAATTGCCTTAAATATTTGTTTGGTAGCAAGTGTTGTCTTGACAAGTATTAATCAGTACATAAATAACAAAATTACGACAATTTAACCAAAATCCATCAATCAATTCATCGATAAAAACGTAGTTACAGCAAAAATGTCGAGCTAAAACTTAAAAAAGAAAATGCATTATGCCGCAATTGTTTCTGAAAGAAGTTCAACGAAATGCAGATATTTTGAATATATACGTATGTGTAGAAAATGGGGAATAATTTTTGTTAAATTGTGGGTTTGAGTAAGGGGACTCGCGAGCTGGTATTTTAATCTTATAACATAACAGGCTCATGACGTATATGACTTCTAAAGTATATTTTTGCAGTATTTCAAACTCATTTGTTTCCATACCTACCACCTTCTCGTCGTAGAAAAACATCAACACAACATTATAATGTGACAATCCCAATATTTTTATCTATTAAGTTTTTTTTAAATACTTTTTGAATTATTATTATTATTATTATTTGATCGTTTTTATTTGTTCATTTGTTTGGGTCCAAACAAATAATGATAGCGAAATTTCAGAACCTAATGCTGTTAATTGCAATTGCCTAAAGTAGTCCATTTTTTGAAGCGGTTACTTCTCTTTATATTTACACGAACGCCGAAAAATTCAGGGGAGATCAATGCGTAAAGATTGTCAAATGACAGGAGCAATAATTTTCAAGCAAAGTAGTTCGCGAATGGTCGAAGATTTCTAATATTGTTTCATTCTTTATAGGTATACATGCTTACAGTAAGCTCCATGATTATTTTCATCTGTGTTAAGCGTCGAAATAATAAGAGTTACAAACCCTAATTTAGAATAATATGGTTTTCTTCAGGCCGTTAACATATAACTTCACCGTGGCTGAGGGGTTTGCACGCTCGCTTAAGGATAGAGAGGTCTCGAGTTCAAATCCCAGTTGAGGCAACTCATTTTTTTTTTTAAGTCAAATAAATATTGAATTGACTATCAGTGTTGCAATTAGTCTTACAGCCAATTTACTACAGTTAAAACACTGGAAAGCATTGGTCGCACTATACAAAAACAAATTGGTTTATAATCTCACAACCTTCACCTTTCTGACATTCTGAGACCCAAACAAAGTCAGCGCCTTCTGTGCTTTGTTTTAATGAACAGACTGGCGGACGCAAAGAAAATAATTGACAGAGTGCCGGTCATCTGGTACGCAATTAAAATCGTTTTATTAGATGCTTACAACTTAACATATTATTGTCCGGAACGAACAATGAACAGCAGTCCTAAACTATTGCAGTCAGGCTTGGTACAATTGAACGAAATTCGTTAATAAGTATCTTTGATACGCCCCTTTCTTCGCAGTAGTTTGCTGTTGAGAATTTGAGGCTGATAGAAAATCAGTTTTCGAGTAGAAGAGCATAGAGATGGATCGTTCCACATTTATAGTGATTTTGCTATTACATTGTAGTATGCCGTCCGTTTCAGAACCAACCTGCTCTAAGTTTCACTACGAAGAACAGACTCTAGAAAAAATGATTAGACAGGAAATAAAAGTTGAGAAAATGAAAAGTGATATGCAACTTACGGAGCAACGAGTACTCGATGCTTTAGAGAAACTGAAAACGGAGAGAAGTGAATTCAAAAAGAATCTTATGAAAAAAGAAGGTGATATTGAAGTGCTGAAGACAAAAATGGACGAGGAGCTGAAAAGGATGAAAGCAAAAACTGACGAAACAATGGATAACTATTCAAAAGAAGTACAGAAAAAAAAGGGTAATAAAACTTATCAAATTTCTTTTGGTTATGAAGTTGTTTTGTTTTTGAGATGCATGAAGTATATCCTGGTTTTGATAACAATATACTTTATTTATCAATGCAAGTTAAATATATCATAAGTGGGTATATCATACCATGGACCAAAATAGAAAATAAAACAAACATAAAGCAATGCCATTAGGGTGGCACGCTCAATACACCAACAACAATCATTTTTTACAACAGTAAACAATGATTCGTATTTATAAACAGTGGCAATTTTTATTTCCTGCATATTTAAAGGGAAACATTTAAATATAGTTTCATTTGTCATGTTTATTTTTATGTTAACACATAATTAATTATTTCTTCTTAAAATGTCATTTGTTTTTAAATATGAAAAGGCATGCTTTGCATGTTCAGAACTTAATGTAATAATATTGCTAACTTTGTTCACTAAGTTTGTTAATTCAATTCATGATAAAACTGGTTGATACGTACCCGTTGAATATATTTTAATTATTTACAAACATTGTTGTTTCTAAATGTTATCATTTTTAATTGGTGCTTATACATTGTATGGCAGAAAAGATAAAAAAGATTATTATATTTTAGATATTCTCATATTCTGATTTAACTTTGTTATTTAGCCTAATATCGTAATATATTAAATTGTCACTTTTTTAATGGACACATAAGTCACAAATGAGTTTAGCACCTGTTTTCCAAGATAACAAACATTGTTACATTTATGTTTAAATAAAAGTTTGATATTATATATATAATGTTAGTAATTTTGACACACGTGGCAATTTTAATTATGTTGAATACTAAATATACTTTTTGAATACTTAATATACTTTCAGAACTGGCATTGACCCCAATTATTGCATTTAAAGCAGACACGGTCAATGATAGATCGCTACGAAACAACAAGGTGTTTGTCTACTCAAATATCATTCTCAACATTGGCGATGCTTATAACAAAGACACGGGTGTGTTTGTAGCACCCGTTAGTGGAGTGTATCTGTTTACAGCACAGGTGTGTTTGACAGCCAACAGTTGGTTTTATGTTGGAATCGTCGTAAATGGTAAACTTATGTCTAAAACAGGAATAGGAGAAAAAACATGGGAGAAATGTTATACAATTGATGCGATCACAGAGGTTGAAAAAGGAAACGAAGTATCGGTAAAATGTACAGCCAGCTGTGACAGCAATGAAAGATTATTCGAAAACTCAAACACAAACAGCTTCTCTGGCGTTCTTATACATAAACAGTTTAAATAAATACCCTTGTGATGTAACTTATATTTACATTTGATATCAGTTATATTTACTGTGTCTGTAAGTGGTAACTCTCATTCTTAGCAAACATATTTTTCGTACAAAATTTTAACCTATATGTAGAAGTAACAATGTTTTAAAGAATACAAGTAAAAAGGCGTGAGACGATATGATACAACATTGGGAACTTGATATATATACAAATTGTATGTCATAATATTCCAATAAAACATATATCATGCATAAGCAATTATTTCTATCAGGCAAACTTGTACATAAATAATGAAGATTGCGTTTTATTTTTTTATCCAAGTAGTATGCAGTTATGCACTTACATTTTTTAGTGCAGGTTTAGTTACACTGAGGCCTTGATGCGATTTTCCAGCATTATTTTTATAGAAAAACCTCTGGTGTTTATCCGTGCATTTATTCTTTTTTAAAAATCACCGCCAACTAGTAGTATTTCGTCACTAAATTTATCAAGATTGGTTTCTAATATATTGAAAAAAAATGATATCGTCGTTATTAAGGGCATAAACATTGAATATATTAATCTCTTTTTCCTCGATTTCTAGTTTAATTCGTTGCATTCTGCCCACAAAAGGTTCTTGATATTTTAGAATTTTACAATTACAAGACGCATTAATAAAGGTATCGACGCCTAAGCTGTTTGTACTATTTCCGCTTAAGTAAGATTTTCTATTCCACTTTGTCGACCAGTTTTCTGTATCATCAGTGTTTGAGTTATAATGAATTTCTTGCAATAACGCTTTTGAAATCTTTTGTTTGTTAAGCCAAGTTTGAACACAGAACTCGGTCACGTTTGTTTGTCGATGATAAACCTTTTACATTAAAAATACATATTTCAGTTGAAGACATATTTTATTGACTAAATATTCATTTGTAAGTCTGTGTATATTGACTGGAGTCTATAATGTTCATTTTTGAATGATTTTATCATCAACATTTTATGTATCATGCTTATATATCCGTGCATTTATTCTTGCATAAACATGGAAAATAAGTAAAACCAGTTGAACAACGTCATTTTGTACTTTTGTTAACCATATATATTTTCAAGAAACTTCTTTAGTGCCATGCATGAATTAAAGACTTTCCATTATCTGGCTTTCAGACTTGTTAACTTAAAGGTAATATTTAAGAACACTGTCTTGATTATTCTCAATACATGAAACATGAAGAAACGTGTATTATGCAATATTTTTTAATATAGGATCGTTCATTATCTTATGCTTACAAGATGTACGACTGCATGTATCATGTACCTTTTTGGGAAATTATACCAATGTTTTGAGTATAACGATGATACATAAATTGTTTTTCTATCTCAATTTGTTCCTATGATTTTGTTTGCTACTTTTCAGGGATATAACACTTTCATTTCCTAGAAGACCCATTGTTCTTACACTACTAAGAATAGTTTGATTAATCGAATTAATTTAAATACCTCAACATACTTGAAAAATATGTCTTCATACAGCGGTGATCTTTGAACATTTAAAGTGACACTCTGGTGCCACTCAATGAAAAGCTGAACATGGTCGCTTAGTAAAAGAATGTGTGTTAAAAGGGATTGAATAAATAGAAAATTCTTCACTGATGGATAAATTAATAGTCATGTATGATAGTCTTTTCTTTTAATGCAGATCAACATTTAACATTAAGGCCATAACAAATATGAAGACAAATTAAGATAATTTCGATTACATGCTTTTTGACTATTTCAATAGTCGCCGTTAAGCATTCGACATGTCCTTTTATTGTTTCTCGGCATAACAAAGACCAGATTGATTTCTGGCGTCTCATTTCACAGTATGTTTACATTCTATATGCGCTCAAAGTTTGACACTGGATTCCGGTAATTAGTACTATCTAGGTCAAGGGTTTCAGGCGCTATCAAGGCTTTGTGGAAAAACACTTAAATTAGTTTCTTCTAAAATCGTGTTAAATTTATTTGACATGAGAAAATATTACATTTTGCACAGTAATATTGTTTGAATGAAGTTTAACGCAGTGCAACAATGCTAGGATAACGGACGTTTAAACAAAAATCTTAGCAGTCCAGTTCTCAACCATACAAGTATTTCATGTAAAATAGTTAGGGAAAATACAAGGATATACGGTTAAAATATTTTATTACTTATTCTGAATGATTTAAGAAAATGTTTTCTGATCAAATGACGTATCTGTGCGCAAAATGGTTTGCGTGCGCGGGTGTGCGTGCTTTATGGGTGCTTTATTACCAAATTTATAACTATATTCGTTCCACGTTTTATGAGCATTGTATATATTCTTCAAAATTCCACAAATCGTTAAACTTACAAATCTTTGCAAGTTATTTCTAGTCTTCAACTTTCAGAAAAACATGTTCATGTTATTCTTCCCGAATTTTCATTTTTTTTCTTCAAAAATCAAGAAAAATATTTACACGGACGGCTCAAAGCATTATTGCAAAGTTTGTGCAGCCAACCGTCTTTGAAAATCATTTTACATTAAAATCATTATCGAGCTGTCTTTACTGCTGGATCAAAAGATCTTGAATTTGACATGCATTAAAGGTCATAATTTTAAGTAACTAATTTTTGTTCTAGATTGTTCTCTGTGTCACCAATCTAAGAAGTTAAAAAAAACTTGTTAGGCAAAATTTGTTTGACCCAAAGTCACACAAGAATACGGGGATATGAAAAGTAGATTATTATTAAATAATCAACCAGTTAATGTTAAAAACAGCGATTCTAACTCATATATTAACTGGAATTATCTGAATGTAATTCAAATTGGGACAAAGCCGTTTTTAACAAAGTCAAACTCTGATCAATTACTTAAAGGAGAAATTTAAGCTAGCTGGATATCTTTTTAATATGAAAATATCCAAAATCCCTGCCGGAATACAAAACAACTCAAACCAAAAGCGGCGAGAAGCAGGTGGTTTGTGATGAACAACATTGAACATTCGTTTCGGACAATTTACTCATATAATTAAACTGCACTTATTATGTTTAGTCTTGAATTAATGGAATATTGGTTTAAAGTGATAAATTCAAACACTATCATTGTTAAATGTGTGTATGTAAATACATTAAATCAGTGCAAACAATGTGTAATAACTTGTCGTATAAAGTAAAAGGAATTTTAAATAATTTGGTTTTTCTGAGGTGTAGAATTGTCCAGAACGTTATAATTCAAACGAATTTGGTAATATTTTAAGCAAAGAGTCATTGATGTTTTTAAACAGAAATGGCTTTCAGATATTGTTAATGATAACGTTTTAAATACATTGTATAGACATATCATGAACAATTTTTCTTCGGCATTTTTATTTAGATAAAATTAAGTGCATGAAATCAAGACAACAATAAATTCGTCTCAGAATATCTGCACATAATTTAAGAATATAATCTGGTAGATATAGGAGAAACAGACTTGAACGACATGGGCGCATATGTCAAATTTGTAATACACAAGATATTGAAGAAGAATTTAATTTCATACTTGTTTATAATCCGTACCAGGAAATACGCACTAAATTCATTAAAAGATATTATAATTATAAAAAAAACTAGTATGTTTTTTTTTCAGAGAATTACTTCAGTCATGTGAAAAGTCTTTATTAATAGATTTATGTACATTCATATGTTTTGCAAATAGTAAAAGAAAATATATGTTGATAAGCTAAGGTTATCTAAAATGTAATTTTAAAATGTTTTTATTTTCATAGATATTGTATACGTTCAGTTTTCGCTAGTAATGTTTATATCAAAATGAGATTATTCTGATATACATTTATTTTATATACTTTTTTTCTGCAGCAATATAATTATGTTCATTCTCCAATATCCTGTAAATCTTTAAATTATATCACGTGTTTATCTATTCATATTATTTGATATGTGTAATGTAACAAGATACTGTATTGTATACTTTACGAAATGAAATTTCTGTTCTGCTTTGTTCTGGTATTGCCAGAACTGTGTTTTGTGCCGTTTACAAACAACAACAACACAACAACAAACAACAACAACACAACAACAACAAAGACAAAATTATACACCAATAACAAAAATAAAAGAACGATAAAGAAAACAAAACACCACCGACAACTACAACACCACATACATACACGCACGCACGCACGCACGCACGCACCCACGCACACACACACATTGTGTTGGTGCGCTGGAAACCTAACTAACGCCAAAATATAAATCTGATCCGGAACACAAAAGCAAAGGGAGGTATATATTAAAGCTTTATATGTAACTGTCTGGCGCAGTTATCTCTCATGACTGATATAGACTACAAGTTTCATGAAACATTTCATAGATTGAAGAAGCATTCGATGATAATGTAATATATCAAACATTAAGACGGTACTCCGTTATAATTGGTTAAAGTATGAGGATAGAATTAAAAATATAAATAGAAATGCTACATTGAATGTGAACGGGAACACTGAATAAACCTCTGAAGACCCGACCCGCTCTACTCCCATTCCCGCCCCAATGAATAAATAAATAAATAAATAAATAAATAGATCATAAATAAAATAAAAACGGAGAGAAAGGAAAGCAAAAACAACTAGAATCGCTAATTGATAATGTTTCAAAACTCAAATCGAAATGTAATCATATCATAAAATCTTTGATAAACAATGTTTTACAACTATTATTCCCTACAGATATATACACCTGGAAATAAGTTAAGCATACATCGAAAATTTGAAATTGCTTGTTATTAAAAGCATTGTCATGAGATGACGACTTAATTGAGCTAAGAAATAGTAATTTAATAATTAGTGGTACAAAGTTAGTATTCATAAACTAGTAAATTTATGGGTTTACTTTGTTTAATCAAATTATTGAGGCATTAGCAAATGTGTTGATTTTTACTAAAAATGTAAGTGTTTATAAAAATGCTGTTGGAGCGTTTACAGAACATTTACTGGAGGATATTTTTGATAAATGTTGACGATTATGTGACCTAAAAATACATTATGTAGCCAAGGTTTTAATACCAATAATGTATGTAATCACCACGTGCCCGGATGATAGCCTCTACCCTTCTTATCATACTACCAATAAGGCGTCTATTGCAATTTTGACATATTTTTTATCATTCTTGGTGCAGAGCTTGTTCCAGTTGTTGCCTGTCGTACCATTGCCCAAAAAAGATTAAAATTTCAGTTGTAGTCTTGTCAAAATTGAGGCAAAATGCCGGGTGTGCTTAACTTATTTTCAGGTATATATATAATGCTTTGAAAATGCAAATGTTTCAGTTATTAATTTTATTGCAAACTTCACCATTGACTGAGAACGACAGAACAGGATGACATCTATTGGCAACGCCAGCACATGTCGAACTCTCAGAGTAGATTGTGACAACAACGCCCTTGCTGGATGGGAATTTACATATGCCATTCCAGTTTCGGATGAACAAAACTTTCACGGGTTCCTCATGACCATCGTACTCAATTTCACATCTTTTGATAAAATCTCCGTAGTTTGTATGGCAGCTGTTAAACATATAATATCATAGAAAACAGAAACAATCTTCAAATCTTCATGTACATAATCCATGTTATATCATTCATTTTTATTCTCGTTTTTGTTCTCGGAAAAAAAACATTAAAAAACACATATTTTACTTATGCTGCAAAACAAACATTTTGACGTTGATTATAAAGATTCATATGCACTTAAAGTTTGCAAAGAATAGAAATCCGAATTATTCCTGACATAAAAATTTAAGTATGTATACTTGAGAAGCACGTAATATATCATTACTCCGATTTCTATCTACAACTTGAAGGAATACGTATATGCCTTGTTTAATTTATGTCAGTTATTTTGTTTAAATATAAAGTTTAATAAGATTCAAAAATTCAGAGAACAGTCAGGTATGCACATGACAAATTAGTTTTATGGCCACAATTATCTCTTAAAATTTGCAAAATTATATTCCATTCATAGATGAAGTAAATACAAGGAACTGGATTTAAAAGATATAATTGTTCAATAACAGAGTTTACTGACGCTCTTTGCCAAATGTTTTAACGACTGTTTCTAAACCTAATAATTTGAATCATTAACTCTAAAACAACATAATTCCTTTCTTGTAAAAGGGTAAAAGGGTTTAAAAGGAGAAAACTTAGCTTGATATTGTCTAAAAATCGGTATTAAAAGTTAGCTTTGAATTACCTAAAATGAATGAATCAATATAAACTCAAATAAATGTACATAACTTTATTGATAAAAAATAAAATCTTAATTAAATCTTAGAAGAAACGGTTTAATATTAAAACCAAATCATTTCAAAATAATACCCTAATTTGCACTTATGCCTCACATGCAATCATCAGTTCACTTCAAGAAAAATCTCAAATCTGATATACTAGTGTTCAATTGGGAATACTGGAGGAGATAGGGGGATTTCTAAGCGATTTGCAAATATACATTGTATGTGAATAGTTTCATTTCCATGCAAGAAAATATTGTTGTGTTTTGGGGTTTTTTTTTTTGCTTCCTTTATCCATTGCAACGAGGCTGTCCCTAATGACTACATTACAGACATCGAGAACGTTTTCAAATGCTTTTTAAATCACCAAGCAAACTCCCTCGCCAAACAGAGCAAAGCATTTATATTTCTAAACTAACACAGAAACGTTTTAGTGGAAAAAAAGTTCTCTATAAACTGAACACGGGCATAATTTGTATATTGTGTGATATGAAAGACTTGTCTTTATGTTTTATCTGTATACGTATAGGTTCGATGAAGTAGCTTACATTTTTCCGCCATTTTGTCAAAAGAAAAAGAAAGATCTCCAACTAAACTACTGAATTCCCTAAAGATAAGTTAAAAAGTAATTGGATGAAAGAAATACGTCCAATAGAATGAACATTTTTCTTGTAAAAGGTTAAGTTACGTATGCATAAAATAGCAATATAACGAATAACAAGAGCCATCGCCAGGTTCGAGGCTCATTGTTAATGGATAAATAAGAAAATTTCATTAATTTGTCATTGACGGTCAAGGCCAGTTAAAGGTCAAAGTCATATTGAATTGATCAACATGTTTGTTTTGTCACAAGTGCTTTTTTGCAAATGTATGAATTTAATCCGTACAATAGTATCAAAATTATGTAAACAATATTCAATGCTTCGACATTGACGGGCAAGAACACTTAAAACTCAAGTTCAAGAGCAGTTCTATCTATTGGATGGTCTTGCCAAATGATAGTCAGGATTTAATTAATGAAATTCTCTTTATTTGTCGTGTAACTGGCTATAACTTTGTTATTTATAAATGGATTTTCTGCAATGTTTTGTCACAAGTGCTTTTTTGCAAATGTATGAATTTAATCCGTACAATAGTATCAAAATTATGTAAACAATATTCAATGCTTCGACATTGACGGACAAGAACACTTAAAACTCAAGTTCAAGAGCAGTTCTATCTATTGGATGGTCTTGCCAAATGATAGTCAACATTTAATTAATGAAATTCTCTTTATTTGTCGTGTAACTGGCTATAACTTTGTTATTTATAAATGGAAACTCTCAACTTTTTTACTTTTTCTGAAAGCAAACAAATAAAAGGTTTAAACAATTCTTAAAAAAAATAAAAGTTTTTTTCTTTTGGATACAAATTTCATTTCTGTACATCAAAGGACAAGAAAAATGTCACTTCATCAAATTATTCAGGTAGGCTAATATAAACGTTCTTTTAGCATCTCAACCTTTGCACATGGTCCAAATGTCAAAGCACCAAAGAACAAAAAAAGGTCATTTGGTCAAATTATCTCTCATATCAAAGTTCAAAAGTAGGTCACTTCGTCAAATTATCTAGGTCAGCTGATATCAAAATTAAATTTATATCTAAAACTGTACGCATGGTTCGAGGCTCATTGTTAATGGATAAATAAGAAAATTTCATTAATTTGTCATTGACGGTCAAGGCCAATTAAAGGTCAAAGTCATATTGAATTGATCAACATGTTTGTTTTGTCACAAGTGCTTTTTTGCAAATGTATGAATTTAATCCGTACAATAGTATCAAAATTATGTAAACAATATTCAATGCTTCGACATTGACGGGCAAGAACACTTAAAACTCAAGTTCAAGAGCAGTTCTATCTATTGGATGGTCTTGCCAAATGATAGTCAAGATTTAATTAATGAAATTCTCTTTATTTGTCGTGTAACTGGCTATAACTTTGTTATTTATAAATGGATTTTCTGCAAATTTAGACATAACATCTTTTCGGTCAGGTCCTTCATGAATATCAATCTAAATTGATTTTGAATCATGTATGGTATTGACCTTGAGGTCAAACTGATATTTTTATCTTTTCAGCTTATTTTTAAGTACTTTCTAAATGTTCATATGATCCGTTTTTTTTTCAAAATGGCAGACTGGCGTACGCAAACAAAAGAATTGACAGATTGATGATCAGTTGAAAGTTTTCAGGAAGCTATTTGGTATGCAATAAAATTGTTTTACTACATGCAACAACATAATATTTCGGAACGAACAATTAACAGCAGCTCCAAACGATAACAGAAAGCCTGGGTATATTGAACGGAATTTGCTTATTATTATCTTTGATACACCCCTTTCTCAGCAGAATTTTGCTGTTGGAGATTTGAGGCTGGTAGAAAATCAGTTTTCGAGTAGAAGAGCATAGAGATGGATCGTTCTATATTTATAGTGATTTTGCTTTTACATTCTAGTATGACATCTGTTGCAGAGCCAACCTGCTCCAAATTTCACTACGAAGAACAGACTCTAGAAAAAATGATTAGACAGGAAATAAAAGTTGAGAATATGAATAGTGATATGCGACTTACGGAGCAACGAGTGCTCGATGCTTTAGAGAAACTGAAAACGGAAAGAAGTGCATACATTAAGGATCTTATGAAAAAAGAAGGTGATATTGAAGTGCTGAAGACAAAAATGGACGAGGAGCTGAAGAGGATTGACGAAAAAATGGATAACTTTTCAAAAGAAGTTCAGAAAATACAGGGTAATATAAATGGTTAAATTTCGTTTGGTTGTGCAGTGTTTTTGTTTTTTGTGATGCATGAAGTATATCCTTGTTTAATTGTAATATTTTTATATTTATCGATGCAAAAATAATATTTACATAATTATCATAAGTTAGTATCTGATACAATGAACAAAACAAAAAAACTAAGGCCATTTAGTTTGCAAGATTGAGACCGCGTAGGTCCATGTTTTCTCTTATTTATATTTTCAACACTATTGAAACTAGGATTGTTTTGTTTTAGTTGTTCGTTTTGTTTTCATAATTTTGCGCTCATTTTGGTAATCTCTATACTGTTTTAAATCAACACGTTTTAAGAATTAATATTTGAATTCATTCGGATCAAAATCAGTCAATGTTATTTGAATGCCATAAAACACATTGAAAATCAACACAAACTATTGTTTCCCAGTTGCTTCGTATCTGTGTAGACAATTATGCAAGCACTCGGTCATTGAAATATACAGAACGTGTAGGGTTAAAACAATGGCAACAGTAGGAATCGAACCACAGACGTCTCGCATATGAGGCAATCACTTAACCAAATTTGCTATTGCGGATGTTACGACGATCTTTACGTTACGTTAAGTTAAATACTCCATTTTACTGCTCGTAAACGACACGGACAAAAATGTATTCATAATTGACAGGTCAATAAAATCAGTTTTACGTTTAACACATAATATTGCTTTCTTATACGTCATTTTGTCAATGTGAATACCTTGCTTTGAAAGTTCGGAACTTAACGTAATTGTTTTGTTAACTTTGTTCACTAAAATTGGTAATATAATCCATGATGAAACTGGTTGATACGTACCTTTTAAATATATTTTAATTGCTTACAAACACATTGTTGTTTCTAAGTATGACCTTTTTTAAATTGTTGCTTTCTGTTCCTACACAGGCTGACAAAAGCTTACAAAAATTTTCTTTTATATTTCTTTTATTTGATCTTAAATTAAATGATACTTGACTTTGTTTTGGAGCCAATTAGCTTACTATTTAACAGTAACTTCTTTTATTTTAATGGACTTATAAATCACAGATGAGTGCAATTTTCCAAGATAGCCAAAATTGTTTTATTATCTCGGGGAGCATTTAATTCAATACAAAATGTTTAAATAAAAGTGTGATATTAGATAAAAATAAAAAATGTATGTTACATTAAGACACGTTGCATTTTAAGTTGTTGCATATGTTATATACTTTCAGAACTGGTATTGACGCCAATTATTGCATTCAAAGCTAACAAGGCTAATGACATATCGTTGGGAAACAACAAGGTGATTGTCTACTCAAATATCATTCTAAACACTGGCGATTCTTATAACAAAGACAATGGCATGTTTGTAGCACCCGTTAGTGGATTATATCTGTTTACCGCACAAGTGTGTTTGAAAAAAAGTGTTTGGGTTAGTATTGGAATTGTCGTGAATGATTCAATTGTTTCTAAGGCAGGTATAGGTGAAAACGTCTGGGAGAAATGTTACACAATTGATGCAATCACGGCGGTTGAAAAAGGAAACGAAGTTTTGGTAAAATGTACAGCTGGCTGTGCAAACAGTGACCAATTATACGAAAGCATCACATACGCAACAAACAGCTTCTCTGGCGTTCTTATACATAAAACAGTTTAAATAACTTCGCTTTTGCTGTCAGTTATATTTACTTGTAACTCTCAACCTTAGCAAACATTTATTTTCGTACAAAATGTTAACATCTAGCTGTACCTATATTTTAAAGTACTTAAGTCAAAAAGGCGTGAAACAATACAACACAACATTGGGACATATATAAACATAGATTATGCATAAGTTATTAATTCGATAAGGCAAAATTGTACATAAATTTATTTCTTATCCAAGGAGTACGCAGTAATGCAGTTATATATTTTTGGTGTAGATTATCATTACACAAAGGCATTGAAGCGATTTTCGAGCATTATTTTTCATGGAAGAAACATCTGGTGGTTCTCCTTGTATTAATATTTAAATGAGCAGGGAAACTAACTAAACAACGTCATTATGTACTTTTGTTAACCATATACATTTTCCAGAAACTTTTTAACTTTCACGCATGAAAAACAGTCTTTCCATTATATGGCTTTCAGACTTGTTAAAAGAATATTTAAGAACACTGCATTAATTATTCTCAATGCATAAAACATTAAGAAATGTGTATTACGTAATATTTTTAACATAGGATCGTTCATTATTTAAATCTTGTAAAATGTCGGACTGCATGTATCATGTTCCGTTTTAGGGTAAGTGTACCAATGTTTTAAAGTATTACTATGATAAATAAATTGTGTTTCTATCTCAATTTGTTCCTTTGATTCTGTTTGCTACTTTTTAGGGATATCACACATTTTTTCGTAAAGGTCCCATTGTTCTAACACTCAAATAATAAGCATAATTTTGTTAATCAAAACAACAAAGTTGAAGCAAATGGCTTCATTCAGCGGTGATCTTTGAACATTTAAAGTGCCACTCTGGTGCCACTCAATGAAAAGCGGGACATGGTCGTTAAGTAAAAGAATGTGTGTTAAAATGGATTGAATGAATAGAAGAAAGACATTTTCTTCACGGATGGATAAATTAATAGTCATGTATGATAGTCTCTTCTTTTAATGCAGATCAACATTTAACCTTAAGACCATAACAAATATGAAGACAAATAAAGATAATTTCGATTACATGCTTTTTGACTATTTCAATAGTCGCCGTTAAGCATTCGACATGTCCTTTTATTGTTTCTCGGCATAACAAAGTCCAGATTGATTTCTGGCGTCACATTTCACAGTATGTTTACATTCTATATGCGCTCAAAGTTTGACACTGGATTCCTGTAATTAGTTCTATCTAGGTCAAGGGTTTCAGGCGCTATCAAGGCTTTGTGGAAAAACACTTAAATTAGTTTCTTCTAAAATCGTGTTAAATTTATTTGACATGAGAAAATATTACATTTTGCACAGTAATATTGTTTGAATGAAGTTTAACGCAGCGCAACAATGCTAGGATAACGGACGTTTAAACAAAAATCTTAGCAGTCCAGTTCTCAACCATACAAGTACTTCATGTAAAATAGTTAGGGAAAATACAAGGATATATGGTTAAAATAATTTGTTACTCATTCTGAATGATTTAAGGAAATCTTTTCCGATCAAATGATGTATCTGTGCGCAAAATGGTTTGCGTGCGCGGGTGTGCGTGCTTTATGGGTGCTTTATTACCAAATTTATAACTATATTCGTTCCACGTTTTATGAGCATTGTATATATTCTTCAAAATTCCACAAATCGTTAAACTTACAAATCTTTGCAAGTTATTTCTAGTCTCCAACTTTCAGAAAAACATGTTCATGTAATTCTTCCCGAATTTTCATTTTTTTTCTTCAAAAATCAAGAAAAATATTTACACGGACGGCTCAAAGCATTACTGCAAAGTTTGTGCAGCCGACCGTCTTTGAAAATCATTTTACATTGAAATCATTATCGAGCTGTCTTTACTGGAGAGAAAGGAAAGCAAAAACAACTAGAATCGCTAATTGATAATGTTTCAAAACTCAAATCGAAATGTAATCATATCATAAAATCTTTGATAAACAATGTTTTACAACTATTATTCCCTACAGATATATACACCTGGAAATAAGTTAAGCATACATCGAAAATTTGAAATTGCTTGTTATTAAAAGCACTGTCATGAGATGACGACTTAATTGAGCTAAGAAATAGTAATTAAATAATTAGTGGTACAAAGTTAGTATTCATAAACTAGTAAATTTATGGGTTTACTTTGTTTAATCAAATTATTGAGGCATTAGCAAATGTGTTGATTTTTACTAAAAATGTAAGTGTTTATAAAATGCTGTTGGAGCGTTTACAGAACATTTACTGGAGGATATTTTTGATAAATGTTGACGATTATTCGACCTAAAAATACATTAAGTAGCCAAGGTTTTAATAACAATAATGTGTGTGATCACCACGTGCCCGGATGATAGCATCAACCCTTCTTCTCATTCTACAAATAAGGCGTCTATTGCAATTTAGAGATATATATTTTTTCTTGGTGCACAGCTTGTTCCAGTTGTTGCAGGTTGATTATAGGTTGTTTGTACCATTGCCCAAAAACATTTAAAATTTCAGTTGTGGTCATATCAAAATTGAGGCAAAATGCCGGGTGTGCTAAACTTATTTTCAGGTGTAAATATTATGCTTTGAAAATGCAACTGTTTCAGTTATGAATTTCTTTGCAAACATCACCATTGACTGAGAACGGCTGAGCAGGATGACATCTATTGGCAACGCCAGCACAAGTCGAACTCTCCGAGTAGATTGTCACAGCAATGTCCTGGCTTGACGGGAATTTACATATGCCATTCCAGTTTCGGATGAATAAAACTTTCACGGGTTCCTCATGACCATCGTACTCAATTTCACATCTTTTGATAAAATCTCCGTAGTTTGTATGGCAGCTGTTAAACATATAATATCATAGAAAACAGAAACAATATTCATGTACATAATTCATGTTATATCATTCATTTTAATTCACGTTCTCGGAAAAAAACATTTTAAAGAAAACATATATTTCACTAATGCTGCAAAACAAGCATTTTGACGTTGATTATTAAGATCCATATGCACTACAATTCTTTTCAAATAAGTGTGGAAGAATAAAAATCCGAAATATTCCTGACAAAATGATTTAAGTATGTATACCTGAGAAGCACGTAATATATCATACAATAAATTCTTTTACTCTTATTCCTATTTACAACTTGGTGGAATACATATATGCCTTGATTAATTTCTGTCAGTTATATTTTTATAACCAGAAAGATCAATCATCAATAAAGGTAAGCATGGGGCAACGTTTTACGGCTGCCATACAGCACATGACTCCTGTTGTGATAAATAAATATCCAAAAAACAGTGATCCCTCGAAAGCATTAAAAACATCAAATTAACACGAAAATTGCAGCCTCAGTTTGATTGAGTTTGTACATGTGGTATAATGAAAAAGCCTTACTGTCTGCTTTTTTGAGAATTATTTTTTTAAACTATTAAAAAAAACCTTTTGAATATTTTATAGATGAACATACCTTTTAGTTGGTTTCGGAGGTGTAGGTTTATGCACTACACAGGCATGCTTTGATGTAATTGCAAATGTCTGAAATTAATTCCAAAATATATACTGTATACATAAAAATCTGAAACAAGTAGACACAAATTTACGTAAACATAATTAGATGCATGTTTATTTATGAACTATTTTCATATTACATTTAATTTACCTGATTTACGTCTTTATTTATTTCAATATTTTTGTTCACCATATATTGTTCACCAACATGATGAAAATGAGTTATATGGATTCAATTGAAATATATTTGAAATACTTTCATACACAAACAGTCGTTATATGCATAGTTAGTTCTGGATACAAAAATGACATACATAAGTACGTAGTGATGTTTCGCCAATGACCTCTAACTTTGGTGTTTCTGCTGTTGCGTCACATATGAAGGAGACATATGAAGTTCTGCTGAAGAATATTGTTACTAATTATTGCAATTTCTTATGGACAAGTTCAATCAAATTGACAAGCTTTGACATAAATATGTTTATTGCATATTGATAAATTACTACATGTACTAAATTCTTTTTCACTTTGATATTTTGGTCTCTTTAGAGGCAAGGAGGTTCAAATGTTAAGGATATTTCGAAGACACGTTTAGATAGTGCACATTAACAACCCGAGAACTGAAAAACACCCTTGGTGGGAATGAATGAGTTATTATAGCGAACCAATATTTTAATGTCATTTTTTTACTATTATTACTCCATTCACCATCGCCTTTTTATCAGGGGAGAAAACTAGAACATTACATTTTCTTAAGTCCGTATGGATTACTCGTCACTGGGAAATATTGCAAAGAATTATTTACAGGGTAATATTCATTTCAAGAATCATAGATCGAAATAACACCATGTGAAGTCACATAAGGCTATATAGTAAACAGTTTACGTGAGGTATAATAAAACATATACGTTACTCCAAGCTCTTCTGTATGGCATATCGTCCCACTAAAGAACAAGGCGATACCTACCTTGTGACGTCATTTTAGACTTTGTAGTTAAAAGTTTACATGAGATATAATTAAAAGAGGATATTGAATTAGTGAAGGCTCAATACAGAATTTATTGAACGAGTTGAAAAAATAATGCTATACGCGCCTCTTGCGAGCAAAATGTTATTTAATTCAAAAATTATTATATTTTATTCATCACATATCCAAAATAAAGACTGTTTGCAGTGAATAATAATTATTTTTCCTTGATGCGCCTACAGTGTAGCGCTAGCATTTGGCACGTCCATACACTTTATTGATATTACGCAAATAAAGTCACGTAAACATATAAGCACGGCCGTTTAAATTTTGACGGAGTCGCAAAATTTACACGGGTATGTGATAAAAACATATACCTTGTTCCAAGCTCATCGGTGCTGGTATATCTACCCGCCAAATAACCAGACGATAACATATGACGTCACATAAGACTATATAGCAAAACGTTTGCGTTAGAAACAATAAAACATATACCTTACTCCAAGCTCATCAGTACTGGTATATCTACCCACTAAATAACCAGACGAAATGTTAAACGTCAGAAGACCGCTGCTGGCATCTCCAATCGCGTAAAACAAATCAAAATCGCTAGTTTGACAACCCTGAAAAAGACTTCAAAAGTAATATATTTCTTGCCAGTCTATGTCTATAGTTCGTAGATGAGGTTAATGTTTAAAGGTTTGCCGTTTTTATACATGTTTATTTACCCAATAATATATGATGATACAAACAAATTAGCATTTTTACTTCTTACAAAATATTAGATTAAAATCATTATACACAGAACTTCAAACTGAATTTGTGACAGTTTACATTTAAACCGTTTCTTCAACCAAATGTAATCATAAGATAAAGTGGACCACAATTTTTGTAATCGAAGTAAGTAAATTTCAAGAACCTATTTTAAACGAAAATACATACAGCTACATTAAGACAAGTTCCCTCGTTAAACGGAAAGCACGGGTTGAATGAGTACATGTAGTCTCCATCTCCTTTTAAATCCTTTATTCTGGTAAAAAGTATAAAAATAGCAAGAGCTCGCTAATTTATTTGCGAATCAAAGCTTAGCAATGTTATTATTTCTACACAAGGCAACATAAAATATTTTGTACGAGTATAATAAATTATGTATAATTAGATCGTTATATATCTTCAACGTTATGTAAATTGGCTTATGACCAAATAAATGAATGAATAAATAATCAAATAAATTATTATACTCAAAACAAAACAAAGAAAAAACGTTTTGAAACATATATGCTTAATTGTGACTTAAATATTATCTCTTTCATTTATTTTACTCTCTATTTTATCAAGTAAATAAATTGCAACTTACAAAGGTACTCCTGTATTACTTCCAAGTTCAGCCAGGTCAATTCTGCTTCCATTTTCAAAAACACATGCGCACACACCTTCTTGCTCACACCCCACACTTTCAACATATATCAATTGAGAAGTTAGTGTAAAGAAAACTACAATAAACTTCGCTACAACTTGCCAGTTAAAAATTGGTCCGTGATTTCTCATAATCCTTATTAATGTTGAACTAAGCAATCCTTAAAATTTATGTAAAAAGAACAATATCATCAAATATTATCAAAACTCTAGTTATATTACGACATTAACCAAAGTAGTTCTAATAGGTTATTACATTTTTTTCTTATCTACTTAGTGCGCTCGGCATTTAAAATTATACTACAAGTGTTCGAAATATTCGAGTTGCTATAAAACTGTGATACGTTTACGTCTATAGTGAGATTTACAGAGATAACACATATTTAGGCATGATAAAGATCTAAGGTGTCAGGGTTAAAATCACAGTAATACTGATAATTATAATAATACTTAAAATGTATCAAATAAACCAACGAGTAAGGGAACTATAAACATAATTGATTCATTACAAGATGTTATAAATTAATGTTATCATTTATTTATTCACCTGTATATGGAATGTTACACTGAATTGCATAAAAACACATAGACAAACAAGTTTTATAATATTTGGTTTCAATTTTAATTTATTTACATAATACTCAGTTTGTAAAGAAATATGTCATTGTGATGCTTAGGTATTGTCATAAACACAAAATAATAATAATAATAATAATAATAATAATAATAATAATAATAATAATAATAATAGTAATAATAATGATAAAAATAATAATAATATTAATAATAATAGTATTAAAAAAATAATAATCATTATGCTTATTATTATTATTATTATTATTATAATGATTATATGAATACTAAATGCGTTCCAGAATAAAAAAGGAAATTCCAGATGTTCTTTTTCCGGGGGTCGACCTAAAGGCACTTTTTCGACAACAAATTTACATGCACAGAGAGAGATAGAGTGTTGGCTGACATAGGGGAATAATTCCCCTATCTTTTAAACCTCATACGAAACGCTTGGTACCTGTCCGTTCTGTGGATAATATTCCATTACATTTTTTACGAGTTTATTTTCTGAAGATTATGTTGGAAATCTATTTTCGGAGCTATTTGATGAATACATGTAGAAGAATATTTTGGATTACAAAAGCCGTTTTAATTAATTGTAGACAGCCAATATATTTTTTAGATATGAAAAAGGAGGGTTATAAAATAACGGAAATGTCTGTTAATTTTCGATACATGTTTTCATACTTTTATTTGAGAATATAAAGTAGAAACAAAAAAATACATCCAATAATAATTTAAATTCAATAAATAATATGATAATGGTTTATATAAAACTGTTGACCTTTATCTGTAAACTATTTCAACTTATTTTTTACAACATACATATGTTTATCAAACAACCGTACACGTATTATTATTTAAGTAAATTGAAAACATAACAAATTGATAGGCATGCTGATCTTTATTTTTTTATTCTTATGAAGTTGTAGTTGTTTATTCTATACTTTAAATGTAGTGTAAAGTATATGTTTCATTAATTATACACTTATGAAAAAATATTCAGATGTATTCATCAATGAAATGCATATTTTCATTTTCAATATATTTCTCTGTATAAGATTACTTTTACTGCCGTCTATCATATTTTCCGTTCTTTCATTCGTGTCTTTACTTCTTTCATTAATAAACATATTAAATAAATAAAAATGGGTCAAAGACAGAAAAGGCCGGGTTGCATATGTATACAAAATATCATGAGGCTGTGATGTTACTTAAATTTTCTACCACTGTCTGACCATTGATGTTGAAAATTTAACTTAGTTGGTAAACCTGAAAAGAATGAGCATCAGACCTGAAATGGAATCCCACAATATCGGACCACAGTCATGTCAATGCTGTGAGCCACATATCAAGAGGCTGTGGTAAGTAGTTGCTGAGAAAACTGTTGCGAAAATTTCCTACTATCTATTGATCATTAATTATGTCAAAATTTAATGTTGAAAATTTAACTAAGTCTGCAAACAGGAAGTGAATGAGCGACAAACCTGAAATCCAATCCCACAGTATGGGACCATGTGTTGATGCTGTATAACAAATATGAAGAGGCTGTGATTAGTAGTTGCTGAGAAACTGTTACGAAAATTTCCTACTATTGACCATTAATGTGGAAAATTTAACTAAGTCGGCAAACAGTAAGTAGATGAGCGACAGACCTGAAATCGAATCCCACAGTATGGGACCATGTGTTGATGCTGTATACCAAATATCAAAAGGCTATGATTAGTAGTTGCTGAGAAAACTGTTACGAAAATTTCCTACTATTGACCATTAATGTTGAAAATTTAACTAAGTCTGCAAACAGGAAGTAGATGAGCGACAGACCTGAAATCGAATCCCACAGTATGGGACCATGTGTTGATGCTGTATACCAAATATCAAGAGGCTGTGATAAGTAGTTGCTGAGAAAACTGTTACGAAAATTTCCTACTATTGACCATTAATGTTGAAAATTTAACTAAGTCGGCAAACAGGAAGTAGATGAGCGACAGACCTGAAATCGAATCCCACAGTATGGGACCATGTGTTGATGCTGTATACCAAATATCAAAAGGCTATGATTAGTAGTTGCTGAGAAAACTGTTACGAAAATTTCCTACTATTGACCATTAATGTTGAAAATTTAACTAAGTCTGCAAACAGGAAGTAGATGAGCGACAGACCTGAAATCGAATCCCACAGTATGGGACAATGTGTTGATGCTGTATACCAAATATCAAAAGGCTATGATTAGTACTTGCTGAGAAAACTGTTACGAAAGTTTTTTCCCCGCCCACCCGCCGCCCGCCCAACATTCACCATACTATAACCCGGGTTTGCACCAGTGCAACCCGGCCAAAAATGGGACTGTTATAATTTTAAATAAAGAAAACGAATTTAATAAACAAAAAAATAAATATTATTTTTCCAAAATTACGGGATTTAATTTCATGATTATCCAATCAATTATATCTTATCCGTGTTTATAACAAATTGTGAAATAATTATTTTCATACCACTCGATGAAATTAATCATGTAATTATATAAAAAAGTCCTTGATATCATCTTTTCATTATATTATTAAATATCCTTAATATAAGTTCGGAAATATTGAGAAATATGGATAACATGAAAATGAGTAGTTTGTTTTTACTTTTTCTGTTTCAACATATTTCCGTATTTTCACTGGTGTCTTGCCGGAAAACATTCTTCTTAAATCAGCCAAATCACGAAATTAGAAGTATTTCAAATTTAAATGTCGAAAAAACAGAATAAACAGAAAATTCACCTTTTTTCTGTACCTACGGAATTAATTAATTTTCACATTGTGGCATGAAAGTTCGAATATTTAAATATTCGCGAAATATTTATTTTCATACTAGTTTCAATCGATAAAAACAAATCCTGTATTTATTGAAAAGAACTTAAACGTCGCCTATTTAATCATCTTTTAATTTTCTTCTTTTTGCGTCTTTAAAATACAAATGAAAATTTGGTCGTCACTTATTTATTATTTATTTTTAGTATGATACATGTGTAATCTATTGTTCAAGATAAGTTTGTTAATTGCTAAATAGAAAAAAACAACAACAAAAATAAATAAGCAAAACATGATAAAATAAAGTTTGACAGGCAATCGATACAATTTTCATTCACGTATAGAGTGATATCTTGTTGGTTTCTTCTATAACGTCTGTTTCTTGACATTGCCTTTATCTGAAAACAAATATTGAAACAATATGAAATTGCTTATAATACAACTTAGTATAACCGCCATCATTTACTTTATTGATCACAAGCATTAAAATGAAATAAACAGAATAAAGTTTGGAATTATTTAAACCCTTACGTCAATATTGTAAAACCATATTCTTTATTTATGAAAAGCGTAAAATTTTAATGTAATAAGATAAATAAGAAAATAACTCTCATACGATGATTTAATAGCTCATTTGTTTCATTTATATAATATACAAGGATTGCATATCTTCTTCACATTTTTTCTCTGTATACTGGCCTTTGCCTAAAGTATTTTTATATACTAGTAATAATTAAACAACAGAGAGGACAATATAGCACCAACATTATTCTCAATTCAATGTTCTATTTCATTTATTTTAAACAATCGTTTTCATTTAAAAGCACTGCAGACTGCATTTAAAGCTGGTGTCCATGAAAATGCGTAAACACCGAATCAGCAACATGTCAGGCAGTTTTCTTTAATTCAATGTTTTTTTTTCTCGTTATTTTAAAAAAAGCATGAATCGAAGTTTCGTATAATAATGTTTTACGTTAGTAAATATTTAATATATAGATAGATAGATACATGTAACAAGGTTGTTTGATGTTCTTCAACATGTAGGGTTTTTCAAGTTTAGATGTTGAAAAGTCATTTTAATAATTTAGGTCATATTATTTCAAACATTACATTTTCATTTTTTCGTCAAAACGAATTCTAATGAATATGACAATCATGAGCTTTCGTGCTTGAAATAATGAATGGCACAAAATGACAAACCTTGTCAGGACGTCTGTCCTGATTACATATTCATTTATCAAGGCCAATTTCTAATCACGTATTACATATCGTAATCAATTTTTCAAAAATGATTTTCTACTGTCGGATCAAGAAACTCTGAATGAATTTAGTTTCGTGATACATCCATTTGGAAATTATTTCGTTTATCTCGGGAAAACTGAACTAAAAATTTCTAATATTCATCATTTGAATGAATAACATAAATAATTTGGATTAATGAAGTGTTAAGAGATGTTTATTGCGATGCAAATATTATCTTGTATCTTACCCGGTTTTGTTATTTTTATATGTTTACATATGTTTAACAAATACAAAATCAAAACATTTGTTATCGTTTACCTGACATGTTTGATGTAACATAAACATTGCGAAAACAGGCCATCAGATTTTAATGCATAGAATAAATGGCAACGTAATGTATCCAGTTATTGGGAATATAGTCTATGACTTGTATTTATTTAGCTTGCTGTATTAAAATTTACTTACATAAAGCTTTTATCAAAGGTTAGCTAAACAAATAATTAAATTTAAATATCATACATTTATGTTCTTTTTTGGATATGATTATCGATATTACAATTATTCGAACATTAAGTTCATAATGACCATTCAGAAATATGCTTATTCTATAAAAGGCACACAATGCCTCAGAAACGACTTCTATCTTTTTTTAA